GAATGTGACATTAGGTGCCCCAAATATCTGCCATAAATATGGGTTGCAATAAACTAATAGCAGGAAGCAGATAGGAACTGTCTAAAAATACCCTGTAAAACTTAACTGCTAGAATCAGCAGAGCCAATTATTTAACATGCAGTAAATGAATCCCTACTAAGTGTCAGGTACTGTACTAAGCATTGGAGAGAGAAATAAGATATGACAAGTTTTGTACCCTTAAAGAACATATAATCTACTGGAGAAAATAGAAATATTATTAAACTTTTACTTCCAATACTTTACTTCACCTAATAAAATTCTGATAAGATAAACGAATTATGACTTGAAAGAAGGAAATAAAGAGTGGGAAACAAAATAATATCATGTATCAGTTAAACAGGTATGCAATGATGAGATGATGATCTATCTATATGACTAGTTAGATGAGACAGAAATTTGGGTCTGAGCTTTCTAGAGTGTATGATGTTATTTACTCATTTCATAATATCTAATCTCACCTCACCCAAACAAAGGCCGTTGTTGAAGTCATAACTAATAGATGTTAGAGCAGATACCAAAACCAATGCCTCTTTCACCATGTAGTCCTGGATTCTTCTTTCTACACTTACTCTGCCTCTTCAGCCAGAATCTGTTGACTCGACTTCCCAAGACATTTTTAAAGTTTTCCTTTTAATCGATCAAGCAAAGCACCAGAATTAAATCACTATTTCTCAAAATGATTTTTGATCTCAACTAGTAAATCCAGCCCTCCAGGCTTCAGCTTGTTCCTTTGGCAAAAATATAAAATGTTACATTTTAGTCTTCCATGTTGACAATGTGAATCATATTTAATTTATTGATTCTACACTTCACAACATCATTATGAGAAAAGGTAAATGGTAAGAAAATTTTTCTTACTATAAAGCTGACCTATTTTCACCTGTTCCTGTTTATTATTTCTCTCTCAAAGTTTCTGATACTTATGTGTGGAGAAGAAATGTTGAGTAGGGCCAATAAAATTGCTGGTGTTTTGTATGTGGGGTATGAGAGAAAGTGAAAAGTGAAGAATAGCTCTAAAATCTGATGAATTATAAGGAATGAAATTGCCATTAATTGAGATGGAAAAGACTACAGGTAGAGCAGGTTTGGAAAAGATAGAATCAAGAGTTCAGTTTTAGACATGGTTAACCTGGAGGTGCCTCCTAGCCATTTAAACGTAAATGCTGAGTAAGCAGTTGGATATAGAAGCAGAGACATACATTTGGGAGATGTTGGTATTTAAAGCCTAATTACCCAGATGAAATCTAAGGGAATGAGGACTTATTAAGGAGAGAAGTTCAAAGACTGACGCTTGCTGGACTGCAACATTTAAAGTCTTGAGGAGATGAGACAAAATCAGCAAAGGAGATTAAAAAGTAAGGTAGAAGGAAAATAAGAGAGTATATGGAATCCTGCAAAAAAAGTGTTTCGTGGAGGAAGAAGTGACAAATTTAGGACTGACAATAATCCAAACATCTGCCAACTGAGGGAAAGATAAACAGAACTGGGTGTTTCTATAAAATGGAATGCTATTCAGCAATATGCAGTAGCTACTGATAAATGCCACAATTTGGTCGGACCTTAGAAACAGTAAGTAAAAGAAGCCAAACACACACATACACAGAGACTGCACATTATATAATTCCATTAAGATACAATTTCCAGAGAAGGCAGAAGTCTAGAGATAGAAAGTAGAACAGTCATTGCACGGGCATGCGGAGGGATGCCTCTGTGGCACGATGGCAGTGTTCTAGACCAGAGTGGCAGGACTGTTATCGATGTACTGAAATGCATTGAACTATACCTTTGGAAAGGGTTAATTTTCTGGAATATAAATTTCACCTCTCAATCTGTTAAAAAGAGAAAGACAGGGAATGGGGATCCGAAAGGTACAAGAAAAAAGAGTGGAACTGGATAGCATTTTTACAGACTAATCTTTTTAAGAGTTTTGATATGAAGAGGAGCCAGGAAAAAAATGAGATAAAAGCTGAAAGGAGACACAAGTCAAGAGAGCTTTGTTTTTTGTTTGTTTGTTTGTTTTTGTTTTTAGATAGAGAAAGGATGCATGCTATTGAGAATGACTCAAAAGGAAGTAAACAATCTCTAATAAAGATGTAGAAGGGAGAATTACTAAAGTCATGACTTTCAGTAGAGAAAAACAAAAACAATAAACAAATTAACAACAACAACAACAGAACATTGCAGCACGCAAGTTTAGAAATTGCCTTAGAAGCATTATAATGCATCTATACTAAAAAAGGAAAGTTATAGTTTGTCAGTAGAAAAGCTAGTAAACGTGTGATTTAGTGATGAAGGCTGTGGAATTGCTTTCCTTTCACAATAAAATGATTATCAGCAGAGAGTGTGGATGCGAGAAAAATCTTCAAGAAGTAAAGGGAATGAGCTGGGAGTCTGTTAATGACTGCAACACGGAAGTGTAGAGTCTGATGGCTTGAAATTAAAAAGTGAGGGTTTGTAAGGAGGAATAGGAGAATGGTCAATGAGAAGAAAGGAGGATGTAACTGTGCCACACTCACAATGAGTTGCACATACAATTTGGGAGAATAAGCAGACATAACTTTAAAAGGCTGCAGGGAAGTTGTATCTTCAGGGGATATGCAAGTCTCATTGGAGCCAGCATCCTAAAAGAATGTTCAACAAAGCTAAAGATATGTAGGATTTGGCTGATCAGGGATAACTATTCCTTTGGTAAGTGTTAGACATTAGTCTGGATGCTGAGTTACTCCTGTTACATTGGGTCATGCATGTGCCCCTAAAACTTCGTTGTGGTAACAGTGATGTTTGAGTAGATAATTTGACATAACACTCCACAATGAGTACCTAGTGGAATTCAACCTGTCCTACAATCTTAAATTATATTATCATCCTAACATTTCTTATGACATATCTTCAATAGCAATTATCTGGCTTTACTCCTATAGTCTCAAACTAAGATCACATTTTTATTTAATTATTAATACATATTTTTATTGTTGTTGTTCAGTTACACTTGTTCCACCTTTTTCCCCATTGTTCTTCCTTGTCCCTACTCTCCCCCCACAGCCAAACCCCACCCCATTGTTCGTGTCCTTGAGTCTTCTATTCATGTTCCTTGACTTGCCCTTTCCCCTTCCCCTTCTTTCTTATATCATGTGTATCAATTATGCAATTCATTATACTATTTCTTTCCCTTTGGGTATATTTTCTATGTAGTTTTCTTTGCAAATTGGGTATGTTTTCTCTCTGTAACCATATGGTCTTGTTTGCTATATCAGCCTCTGTCATTTCATCTTTTTAACACATGTTCCAACAACCTTGCAATAAAAATTATATCTCAGAGAATCTTGTACCCCTCCTACAGGAGTCACTTCATGATGTTAACTCCTAGAAGTCTGCTGATTAATGCCTTCATCCTCTGCAGAGCCTGTTGTTGGTTTCTCCTCCTCTTTCTCCTCAACCTTCTTCCTTTTATCTCTAACAATTATTCATCTCATCCTGCCTTTCAAATAAAACCTGTCTCATAACCCATTAGACATAACATATTTTAATACTGTAGGTTTATACTAAACTTATTGAATTATTTTGTATTTTCTATAAGAAAAAAGTTAAAATACACATTGTCTTGAAAGAATCTAGATCTTGAGTAACATAAAGGTAAGACTAGATATGTTTACTGTGTAAGTCTCCAAACTGATAGCAGGATTAGAGAAATTGAAGTGACATAGAATTAAGTGGGTACAACTCAGAAATTATTATTATTAGTAATTTTGAAACTAAAGTTATTTCAAAGTACTTTCATTTTGAAATTTAGTGTACTATTCTTTCAATTAAACAAAGCTAGCCCTTGCCAGCATGGCTCAATTGGTTGGGTATCATCCCCCAACAATTCCCAGTCAAGGTACAGGCCTGGGTTGTGCGGTCAGTCCTGGGTTGGGATGTATAAAAGAGGCAATCGGTCAATGTTTCTTTCTCACATCGAGGTTTCTCTCTTTTTCCCCTCCTTCTCTTCTCTCAAAAAATAAATAAATTATTTAAGAAAAAGTTAAAAGGAAGGTCAGATAAATGTGAGAAACTCTAAGGCATTTGAATGAGGTCCTATTGTAATTTATGAAAAGAATTTTAGGCCAAAAGAGGCCCCCTTTATTATACTAATAATAAAACATAGAAACAAGCATGACTTTCACACTAAACAAAGGAAAATATTATTGAGATGCCAGGATGTCTTTATTATTTCTCATATAGAAATAAACACCGATACCTTCCCACCCCTCTCTCTCTCTAACTGATGCTAGCCACTCTTATATTGTTTTATAGGAAAACTATACTGAGGCCCTCAAAAAAATCCTTTTAAATTACAGGACTCAAAATAAATGAGTATAATTAGCTGTGAGTTGGCAAAAGGAAATATTATTAACCTGATCACAATTTACTATTACGTTACTTCAAAATTTATAAAGTACTTACCTATTACCATGACTCTTACAAGAGCTCAAGTAGCCAAAAAAGAGTAAGTTATAGTTTTGTTTGAAAAATCATAAAATATTTCTTAGCAGTCTTTGTTTCAGTGTGATAAACACCATAAACAACCCAGTTTCCATCTTATCTTCTGCAACAAGATGCACATTGGTATTAAGTTAACTCAATTCTGACATTCCAAATAATTTTGAAAGGTTTTTACTCTCTCAGTTTATCACTTTCCTTGTGTTCCAGGCAATATACTCCTCAGTGGTGGCATGCAAAGACATAACCACATGTCAAGAGTTAAAATGACAATAAAACAATCTTATCATAGGAGCTCAGTCTCTTGACCAGTGATATTTAGAATATACAATCTTTAATTACACAACTGGTACTATGATACATTTCAAGAAAACCATGCACATTTTACTTGGAAGTCACCCCCGTCAAGACACTATCTAAAAGAATGAGCACCATAGTAAGAGAGAGCAGCAGCAACAGAGAACGGGGTCCTACCATACCTGGTGAATGAGGCGGAGGCGAGCACATCAGAACAACCCCCTGGCCTTCCCTCACAGAGACTGCACTTCTCGTCCGGCCACTAAAATTTCCCAGATCTGTCAACATAACACAGAATTTAGAACAAGGCAAAACAGGCTTTAAAGAAATCTACCTTTGTAATTTCTACTTACTTCTCTCTCATTATTCAGACAAGGTGTCTTCTGTTTTGTTAGATAGTGATAGGAGGGCCTTAAAAATAAATCTATGCCATCCAATTTTAAATACCATGATGTTTAGATTATATGTGCATTCTTCATTTATAGTGCATAGAGTTGCCAGTATAAAAAGAAATTAGACAAAACATTTATAACACATTAAATAGTTACCTAATTTGTTTACAGTATTACCTACATACTGATTTTTCTACTACTAATAAAACCCATGAGTGCACAGTGAAAAACAGAAGTGGGTTAGGGGACCTGCTGTCCAACCGTTTGCCTCAGTATCTGTCATGCTAGGAATGACGTGCAAAACCTAGAATGCCTATTTCAACTTAGAGAGACTGGTGTATTCTAGCAAAATATAATGAGGGTATAAAATGTTATTTTTCTATAAATGTGAGGAAGTTGTGTTACTTTCATTTTATGAAAGCCTGAAATGACCTGTATGAATTAATTATACTCATTCATTTTGATTATTCTGGGAATTACAGGTATCAAAAAAGTCACTTTTATATGCTTAAATGATTGTAACACTTATTGTGGTTCAATTGTCTTCCCTTAAATTATTTCCAGAATTTCAAATACTGTGCTGAAAATAAAGTGACCTGAAAAAGAATTTTCTGTATCATTTGTATTTCTAAGATTGTTTATTAATACATTCATAGCTCAGTACATATGTCCCTTATCCCCATCTTAGGCTGGGTTGATCAAAAATATAATTTTGAGAGTAGTTTCTCAGAAATGGTAGGAGTTCAGTATTTGTATAAATAAACTGTTCCAGAATCCTGTCTGTGAAAACATGTTTCAGTGGTGAGAAATGTTCCTTGAAAATGTTCTGCCTTTTCTTCCTTTATTCATCAACTGTAAGCAAGATTTTTGAAACTTTTCATATTTCATGCTAAAATAGTATGCTTTAGAGTAATACAATTTAGGCCCCATATTTAATGTTCGGTAATCTGAAAAATGATGAATATAAGCAGTCAAGAAAATATACTGAATAGATATGAAAGATATAAATCACTAACTTTAATGTCCTAAGAAGGATCCTAATCTTACTTTTGGTGATAGTTAACAATTTCTTTATATGCTGAATTTATAATAAAATCTTCTTACTACATTCAAAATCATAATGGACTAATTAATAGTAAAGGCATAATGCCAAAAATAGTCAAAGAGGTATTTATTATTGAAGAAAGTGTTTAGAATTTTACACATAATTCTGTGTCTCACTGTAAATAGTTATGTGTTTCTCAAAGTGGAGAGATGAGAGAGTTGTCCTAGTTCTACTTTTTTTTTTTTGATGGTTTGAAAACATACATGCTAACTTCAAGTAAAAATCAAGTTCATTCACATTTAAATATCTGTGACTTAAGGCTTTAAATTCATATGCATTGATCTTTAGAGATAGAAGCTGTCTTGCTCTTCGTTTTGTTTTTTTTCAACAACTGATCCCAACATGAAAACAAAGTTGGTATGTTTTCTAATGTGGTTTCCTTTGACTCTACTCCTTAAGAGTAGTGTGGGAGCTATACACTAAGGCAGTGGCTGCAGTAAAGCTATAAGATCTCTTTAGAAAATATATGGTTTTTCTTGTTTAATTTTATCTTCATTGGATTTATAAACTCTGGAAAGCTATTTGGGTATCAATTTATTTTAACTTAATTTCTTAAATGTTTTTTGCAAAGTATGTATGTAGCTTCCAATACATTTACTACAAGTTTATATTATGCTTAGTGTGATATTTCAAATCAATCTATTTTAGTTAAAAGAACATTTTAACAGAAAATAAGACTGAATTAATGCTTATTTCTGGGGAATTAAAGTATAGGAATGGCTTAGAAAATAGACAAAAAAAGAAACATAATTATACAATTATTATGACTTGGTTTATGTTTTAAGATTATAATGACCCAAAAGATAACACTCATCTGTAAGTGCTATATCTTGTATCAGCTGTTGTTAACACAGGTACAATTCAACATTTCCTCGTGGAACAAAGATAAGTAGATTGTTTTCAGCTGTGAATAGATTGTTTTTATATTTCATAAAGACATATAAACACTAAAAAGAGGTCTGCCCTTTTATAGAGAGTATATTTTTCTCATTTAAATTCTTCTGCCTAGAAAAAAGTGAAATATTTTTATAATGTGAAAATGATCCTGTGTCATGCAAGATTCTGGGTGATCCTCAGAATGATTTATGTGAAAATTTCTTGGTTGGAGGTGGGATGGCAACTAGAGAGAATAGTCTGAGCAAAAATATAACTGGTTGTTTTCATCTCATTGCAAACAGAATACTTTTAGTTTATTTGGAGGTACTCATTAGAGAATTCAGTTTAAGTGCTTATCATTTTACTTTAATAGATTATACATTCTAACATATCAAGAAAGAAGTGGAAAAAAAGAAAGAGAACTCTAATGGTTGGGGTTTAGATTATTTTACTATCATTTAAGACACAAAGTAAAAAATACTTGTTTATATGTTCTATTTTTGACCTTTGAAGGAAAAATGAGTAAAGATAAAAATCTTAAACAAGGACTTCAAAATTCAGGTTTAAATTATGAACTGAAATGAACTTCTTTCTGGACTTACTGTAAAGCACTTGGACAAACAGATAAGCAATATACTGGAAGAGAAAGTCTGTGGTCAAGAATCACAGGGCTCCTGGCCATGTCTTTTCTTCTGCTCTTTCCAAGTTCAGAAGTTCGGGCAGAGTCTAATAGTTGAGCTTTAGCTAAAACTGAAGCTCACAAAACTATCACACCTATTCATCCTACATAAACCATGTAAAGAAAAAGAGGTATACAATAAATGGTGTAATTGAGAGCTTCACATGACAGAATGTAAATTTAGGATGTGTGATGTGAAGCATGTTGAGACAAGATGTAAGACGAATTTCATCAATTCATTTAACAAAATTTTGTCAGGGCAAACTTTACACTGAATGCTTAGTTAGATACTGGTGATACAGAAAAGCTGTAAAGAAAAGGTATAGATATGGTAACCAATCATGCTGACTTGGGCCAACCATCCTTAGAATCAACTTGGAGGAGTCTGTGCCACCAAATAGATGCTTGAGGCCAATCCATCATAACTTCAGTCTGTCACAGCCATACTAATGATTATCAGTCCATACCATGTACATTTCTCATGTAGCATTTCTTGTTATTTCCCTAAATGTAAGTTGCAAATGCATGCACACATACTCGGACTCATACACCCTTCCCTCCCTCCTTCCTTCCTTCCTTCCTTCCTTCCTTCCTTCCTTCCTTCCTTCCTTCCTTCCTTCCTTCCTTCCTTCCTTTCTTCTTTCTTTTCTCCCTCCCTCCTGCCTTCCCTCCTTACCACCTGCCATCCTGACTCCTTTCTTTTCTTCCCTGCTTTATTCCGCAGAGGATTTGAGGCATTTTAAATATATATGTATGTAATACAAAAAAGATAAAGCAGGTAGTTGACAAATTCCAGGTGAAGGCAAAATGTATGTTGTAAGGATCCTGTAGGGTAAGATAAGCACTTAAGAATATATGTTACATACATTTGTAAATTATTAGAAGCTGACAATAAATATGTTGCTAAACTTATGAAGATCAAAACAAAGATGAATATGTCTCCAGTCTTAGACTTTATGGTTATTATAAGATCAAAACTTTTAGCAACTCAAGAGAAATACAGTGCTACTGGGTATTAAGATCTAAGAGGAATTTATCCTGTAAGACTTCATAAAGATCACAGTGGGTGGTATAGTAGGCTGAGCTACTTTCCAAACCAATTAGGAAAGTTTTTCACCCACTGAAATACCTTAAACAGTTGCAGTGTGAGACATGCACACACATACAGATAAAATATAAAAACCATTCCATAGAAAAGTAAAATATTTTAAAGTGCTGGAGAGGGGGGGTGGTTTGAAGTGAACTGTTAAGAAGGCATGTGCATAAGGGTCCTGGACACTAATTTTATGGCCTTCTGAATTTTGAATACAATAGAGTAATTAGTTATCAGGGAGAAGAGAGGGAAAAGGTGTCAAGGTAAGATAATAAATCTTATACAATTAGAAATTATGTGCTGAGGTGCACCTGTCTCCTAGACACTAATTTCCCAGTCTTAAATCTGTTCTAAAGAAGTGGCAATGTTCGGCTTGTGGGGGTTGTGAGTTTAGAAGAAAGAACGGGGATGGAGTGCTCATTTTTAATTGTACTTGGTTATACATTCATCCTGGAGGTGCTGCCAGTAAGTTTTATCCTGTTGGTGCCCCCAGCATTCTCAATTAATTCTCTAATATTCAAAGTGCTGTGAATACTGAGATAATTCGTTATGAGTTCTAGACATCATAAAATTGAATTTGAGTTTTTACAAAAAATAAAAACAATTGAAAAAAGCAAAACACTGTTTGAGTTTAATTCTCGAGTCACAGTGTCAGATTTATATGAAGACTGAGGAACTAAGAAGGGTGCTTTTTCTGAGGGGTCTCAAGGTTTACATAAAAACAACTTACAGATTTCCTAGTATTGACTTGGTATTTCCTGCTTCCCTTGCAAAGTGATTGCATATTGAATTCTTTCCTCCTTTTGACATTGTTACTCTTGTTCCTATTATTATCATCAGGATTATTCAGATTGTTATCAGATTTTTGTGTCCCATGTAAATACTGTATAAAAAATTGAGACCTCATTCAGAAACTATTTTTGACATTTTAAAATGTGAAAAATAATGGGAAATACAAAGAAATTGATGAGTAATAATTATACTGGCTACCAGCATACTTACACTATGCCAGTCATTCTGGAAATTAAATATTAATTTCTGTGTTTTAAAGATTACTGAATGCGATAGAAAAGCAAAAAAAAAAAAAACTTGTCTAGTGTCACAGAGTTAGTAACTAATGAATTGGCAAATCA